TGACTGGGCCACCCGGGAGCCCCAGAAATTATGTTTATTTTAAATGATTAATTCAAAAAGTGGAAAAATTTAATCCATGAGAAAAGAAGGACTAAAATCCTGGGATTGAGAGGATTTGGGCTCACCTATTTCAGTGCATTTCTTTGTATTCCACTTGTTTATCACATGTTTTGGACTACATATTATTTCATAAAAATACAGGTTTTCAAGATTTGGCCAGTTATGGATTGTAGATTTGAAATAGAGCATTGAGAAGAATAGAATGGTACTAATTCGAATGAGGGTGATAGACACAGACTCAAGGTAGGGTGTGGCAAACTGGAGAATATTCTGGAATTAACCTGTATTTTGATAAGGAAAAGTAGATAGATGTGACCTATTTAAATTCCATTCTGTTTATGATAATACTGTGATACCAGGAAATGGTTCCTGATTCCACTGTTTACCTGAAATTTATGAGGACAACCCATTCCATTTTGACAGCTCTCATGTTCTCTTACTAATTGCAAAGAAGCTAATTACATTAACCTTGGATTTGGAAAAATTGGTCAATTTTTCTGGGCTCAAAATATGTTTATCATCTTCTAACCTTTTCTGGTTTTATTCAAGGATTCATGATCTCCTTATCCATTATATAAAAATACTAGTTCTATTTAACATAACCTGTTTTTCTTAGAATAATGTAAAGGAGATTATCTATGCACACATAAACATTTCTACTATATATGTATGTATAATTTAAAAATACTAAAATCATTGAGACTTAAAAAAATAAGTTTTCTAATTGCTTTTTTAGCAGCAATGATAATATTCATTATTTTATAGGTAAATAAAATTTTTTTTAAGTCTTATTTGTTGTTTATTTTGTTTAGCACTCCCAGTAACCCTGGCAAATTTTTAATATTTTCTTTATTTCAAGCTATATGAATTTTCAGAGTTATTAAGTGATTTCCCTAAAGCTGTGTAGCAACTGAAAGCCAAACTGTCACTGGAACTCAGGTCTTTTACATATGCTTTCTCTTGTAGAATCATATATAGTGAAGGTTATATAATTTCATTTCCTAGAATAGTCCATGTCAGTGTCTACAACACCCACTCTACTGTATCAGAGTATCTAGGAAACCAAATTAGTACAAAAAAGTAGACATTATAGTTACATTTTTATTTTTAAAAAAGTTTTTTAAACATTTATTTTTGAGAGACAGAGTGCGAGTGGGGGCAAGCAGAGAGAGAAGGAGACACAGAATCTAAAGCAGGCTCCAGGTTCTAAGCTGTCAGCACAGAGCCTGACATGGGACTTGAACCCACAAATGGTTAGATCATGACCTGAGCTGAAGTCAGCCACTTAACTGACTGAACCACCCAGGTGCTTCTATTGTTATATTTTTAAATAGTTTGTGTAGACTTAGCCTTCTCTTAAATCATTCTCTATTCAACATTACTTTTTGGACCTCCCGTCCTTCTTCCTGAGTTAAATCCTATGGAAATTCTTTAAGGATATGTAGTAACCACTGTCTGAAAATGTCTTTATTTTGCTCTCATTCTTAGAAGATAGTTTGGCTGGTTATAAAATGCTAGATTGGCAGTTATTTTCTCTTGACACATGAAGATATACTTTCTTCGGGTTTTATTGTTTTTGTGGAGAAGCCAGCTGTTGATCTGATTATTATTTTTAGACAATTGATTTTTACTCTTAGGATGTTTTTAAGGTATTCTCTTTATCTTTGGTGTTCTGTAGTTTCACTATAATATGTTTACAATGTATTCTTCTCATTTATCTTGCTTGGTATTCCCAGAATTGAATGTTAGTATCTCATCAGTTCTGGAAAGCCTTTAGTCATTGAATTACTTATTCCTGCCCTCTCCTTCTAGAACTCTGATTAGACATATGTTGAGTTTTATTCTGTTTGGTGTTTCACATCTTCAGTCTCATGTTTCTTTGAATCGCATTATGTACTTAAATAAATTCACCATCCAGTTCAGTCTTTTTTTTTTCCAGCTGTACCTTATCTGTATTAAACATTTCTATTTAAAATATTATGTTTTCGATTTCTAGAAGTGCTTTTTAGTTTATTTCAGATCTAGTCAGTTTTAATACTCCTCTTGTTCTCTAGTTATATTTGATACCGTCTTTTAGTTCTTTCATCTTATTGATCTTGTATATATTTTATATTCTGTAGCTGACCATCACATAACATGTGAAGTTTTTATAGGTTTTATTTCTGCTCATGGCTTGATTTCTTTCATGGCCAGTGATTTCTGACTTTGAATTTGTGTTTCTTAGAGCTTGATCTGTTGGAACTCTCAGAGCCTGAGTTTAAAGTGTATTATTTTCACAGTGGATTTGTATCTGCTTCTGTTAATAAGCATTTATATTTGCCTTGGTGCTACAAACTCAAGATCACTTTATTCTACATTTTTCACTCAGGATTGGAGAGTTGGAGGAGCACAGAGATTGTGTAATTTTGTCCCCAAGACCATGTGAGGGCAGAGCTGTGGTTAGAAATTGTTAGGTGGAGGATGTTATTTCTACTACTACTGTACTCCACTTAGAACTAAGATCTAGATAGAAATTTTGAATTTCTCCCTCTGTACAACACATTTAATCTTATTTTTTGTTTTATTTTGTTTCATTTTTAACTAAGGATGTTGTTCTTTACAGATTTTAGGTCTTATTTTTTTAAAGTAAGCTTCGTGCCCAACATGAAGCTGGAATTCATGACCTCAAGATAAAGAGTTGCATGCTCTACCATTGAACTAGCCATGTGCCCCCAGGGTTTTAGATTTTTGCAGGAGTCCTTGATCTATCTTCTCAGCTTTTTTGGGCTTCTTTGTCTCCTGCCCTCCTGCACCTTGAGTAGCTGGTTAAAGCCCAAGCACTTAGTCTGCCATGGATTGGCAGATTCCCTGTTTCCTGCTTCAGTACTAAAGCCCTGGGTTCATAGTTTCTGTCCCCACTTCCCTTCCCCAGGCTCTGAGGAATTCTGTTATTTTCCTTTTCTTCCCTGTACTTAAAATGTTGTTTCATTTTTCAGAATATTTAAGTATGCTATTCTAGAAAGAGTTTTTTCTAACATAAAGTCCAAAATTTTTGAAGAGTGGAAGGAAATCAAATTAGTAGTCAGAAAGTTGGTTGAGAAACACAATGAGAGTGAAAAAAAATTAGATTATTTCAAAGGGTATTTTTCAGAGAATCAAAAAATAATGTATTTGTACCCTATATTGAGATTATTTTTTAAGGAGCTGAATAAGTTTCCATAGTTTATTTTTCTTTTGTACAGTTTTATAAATTATTATTTTTATTTCTGTTTTTATTAGTGTCTACACATATCATGACAGTCAAATTATAATTCAAATATATTGCAATCATGCTTTTTTAAAAGATAAATTTAGATCACATTGATTCCCAGTTTCCTTAGTAATGCATTTGTAAACCATTTTAGAGTGGGTTAATTATGCAATAGGATTTCTTTGATTAACAAAGCTTTTACATTATATACAATTTTATAATGATATTTCTACCTTGAATTGAGATTAGAATCTCACAGTAGAGATCAGTTTTAGTACAAGGGGACAGAATTACCATAATGACATTATTCAATTTAACACACCAACGTGTGCACACGGAGGACCTGGTAGACATTTATTAAGTTGAGAGAAAAAGAAAAAAAGTGAAAGAAATGCCTAATATTTATATAGCTCAGAAAGTTGCTTCTTTGAAATTTTCCTTGATCCTCTTAAGGCAGAACCCAATCTCTCCCTGTACTATTCACAAATTTTTCTTTTCCAAGGTGTTTTCATCCCACTTTTTACCTTCCACTCTCAAAACAATTCTTAAATGTCTACATTTTCAAGGTATTTTAGTAGGTATTGGAGATACAACAATGAAGAAAAAGATGTGGTCTACATTTCCACTAAACTTACAGTTTGTTAAGGGTAATAGACAATCTAATGACACAATGTAGTATAAGTGTTATGATTAGGAAAAACTAGATTGAGATGGAATACACAGGAAAAGCAATAGACCTTGAGGCCATCAATATCTTCTTAAATGAAATTATATTCAAGTTGAGTTTTGACATACAGATGAGCTGTTCTCAAAGTGTACTCCCTAGACCCTTAGTGTCATCTGGGAATTCATTAGAAAAGGAAAGTCTTGGGTCTCATCCCAGGCTGCTAAATCTGAAACTGGAAGTAGGGCCAAGAAAACTGGTTTTTGACAAACTCCGTAAGGAATTCGAATTCATGCTGAAAATTGAGAACTAGTGGATGGGGGATAGTGAGATAGAGGGCTAGGGTTGGATCCCACCAGGCAGAAGGATCAGCTTCTGAGATCCTTAGGGAAGAAAATAGTGACTGACACTACTGTAAAATAGTTCAGTATGCCTCCAAGGTCTGGAGGAGAATTGGGGTAGACAGGAGAGGGTGAGGAGAGGAAAGCCAGGAGATCATGGGGTTTTGTAAGCCATATTAAATTGTTTAGCTTTCATTGATCATAAGTATTTCTTTATACATGTTTCCTGAAATAGAATGTGAATGTACAAAGGTCAGCATCATATTTCCATGCCTCAGAACACCCCTCAACTATTGTTGGCCTGTAATTGATGTTTAATATTTATATACATTGTATATATAATTGGTTTCTAATAAATACATACAATGAATTGAATGAAGTCATTGGAGACTCACACAAGCTTTGTGAGACAGACATTTCTGCCTGTTTTACACCTGAGAACTAACAGGTGAGTGACTTCCCAACATAACAAGGTCAAATGGTTATTCAGAAGTTAAGATGTTTTGCAAATCCAAGCATTTGGAATTTGTTCTTAGAATCTCTTATTTCATAGTACCTTTCTGTCAGGGTGTGCTTAGATTACAGAGAATATGTACAAATACATAAAATCACAGATTTTTTTCTAACTCGTAAGCATTCCTAATGCAACTGTGCTTCTTCCTCTTTTTCCTTTTTCTTTTTACTTTTCTTCTTTTTATTTTTCCAGACAGAAAAGGGGAGTGCACTTCATGAAGCAGCTTTATTTGGAAAGGTGGATGTTGTAAGAGTTCTGTTAGAAACAGGTAACTATTGTGATACTCCATGGAGCTTATTCTACAATATACAATTTCTATTTCAGGAGTAGACAAAGGGAAATGGCATAATTCTTTCATAATCACCTTTATACTTTTTACCTTTACTCCACATGGCAAACACGTATTCATATCACATAGAATTGAGCCTCAGTATTTAGATAAAATGGATACAAATGTGCAATTTGCTCAACAGACGTGTCAGTAAAAAGCTTTTAGAAATTACAGTTGTGTACTTTAAATCACATTGAAATATACTAGAGAAATTACCAAAAGGAAAAGGAATTCTCTGCCTTCTACAAGAGAGAGGAACTGATCCTTATGAAATTATGACAATTGCTTGGTTTATCAAAAACATAATATTTCTCTAGATTATTATATTGGAAACTGTGGTGAATAATATTCCTTATCCTTAAATCAAATTCACCTTGTTATTTCATCAACTGAGTAGTTGCTGAAATTGCTTGTAAGGTGCAGTGATTTAAAGGGAATCTTTTAGAGGCAGTGCTTTGAAGGAATAACAAAGTAGGCTTATTTGTCTTCATATTTATATTCTGAATAAAATGCAATAAAATTGGAACTGAGGTTGGATTTATTTTAGGATCAAAAAGCATAGGTATAAATTCATACAGACTACATTTAATGTATTTGTTTTCTGCTGCAAAAAAAAAAAGGAAAACATTGGTAGACTATAGTATTTTGGTTGTAGTTATACTGAGTGAAAATTTCATGTACATTTAATTTTGGCATGTAACAGTGATATAATAAACGTGTTATAGGAAACCAATATGTGCTGGTCACATATTTCTACACAAATTTAAGCAAATACTTAATAATCTTATTACAATAAACTAACAGGTGAGGCCGGATTCTGAAAACTGACTTTGTTTGCAGTTAGATGTTTAGAAAGTTTATAAACTTTTTTTGACAGCAGTGAAAGCTATTTGCTACATTAACATAAGTTCTTTTTTACAATAAATATTTTTAGAATTAGAATAATTTCAAAGTTGTTTTAATTACAAATTTCAAGAAGTTTTCTCACCAGGTAGATTATTGAGTGTTGTTTACACTGAGTATTATCTTACTTAAATAAATATGAGATATTTGACTTTGTAGCTGGACAAATAGTATTTGGACAATAGTTCAAAATAATCATGATTTTTCGACTTTTGTGAATACTTAAGTATTCTAAGATTATTGTTACATTATGCATATGATACATCATTGTTTAAAATGTTTTTACCATATTATACAGAATATATAAATCACAGGACCATTATACTTTAGAAATTCACATTATAGATCAATAGTATTTTTCAGCTTGATAGTGTATCATTTAAATAGCTCTAATCCAAACTGGTTATAATTCTAAAAAACAATCTAGGGGCACCTGGGTGTCTCAGTTGGTTAAGTGTCTGACACTTGATTTAGTCTCAGGTAACAGTTTCATGGTTTGTGAGCCCTATGTCGAACTCTTTGCTGACAGTACAGTGAGGAGCCTTCTTGGGGTTTTCTGTCTCTCTTTCTCTCTACTTGTGTGTGTGCTCTCCCTCTCTCAAAATAAATTAAAAAACAACAACAACAAAAAACCCCAATCCTAATGATTGGGTCAGTGTCCTTTAAGACTTAATTCATTGTCAAGAATGTTCCTAATCTTTAGTAACAGTAGATCTCTCCTTCCTTCCTTCTTTTCTTTTCTTTTCTTTTCTTTTCTTTTCTTTTCTTTTCTTTTCTTTTCTTTTCTTTTCTTTTCTTTTCTTTTCTTTTCCTCTCTATTTTTTAAAATGTTTATTTCTGAGAGATAGAGAGTGACAGAGAATGAGCAGGGGAGGGGCAGAGAGAGATGGAGACAGAATCTGAAGCAGGCTCCAGACTCTGAGTGGTTCACACAGAGCCCGATGTGGGGCTCAAACCCACGAATCATAAGATCATGACCTGAGCTGAAGTTGGAGGCTTAATGGACTGAGCCACCCAGAGGCCTCCTCCCCGCCACCTTTCTTACTAAAGTCATGTGTTTGTGTGTGTGTGTGTGTGTGTGTGTGTGTGTCTAGGGTGTAATTTTTTTTTAAAATCACTTTCAGTGCTTGATCTGTATATGTTTGATATTAGAGAAGTTATATATTGACATTATCTTCTGATGACACTTCAGTGGAGTACATTTAGTCGGTTTTTCTTTTTCTTTCAGGAATTGATGCCAATATAAAGGATAGCTTAGGTAGAACTGTCTTAGACATTCTGAAAGAACATCCATCTCAGAAATCTCTCCAGATTGCAACACTCTTACAAGGTAAACAATATTGAATGATGGATGAGTTTACCTTAAAGTTAAGATTAAATTAAATCTATCATAGTTTTCTCTTGAGTTTTTGAGTTAATGTTTGCTTTTGAGTGAACTTATTATTTACCTTTTTTTCCTAGTAGACTTTAAACTAAATTATAATACCATTTAATGTTTTATTTCTGTTTTCAACTAATCAGTATGATGTACAGCTTGGTTAATAGTTAATAATACTGTAGTTAGTAATACTGTATTACATATTTGAGAGTTGATTCAAGAGTAGATTTCAGAAGTTCTCGTTCCATGAAAAAAGTGTGTAAGTATGCATGGTGGTGGATGTTAACTAGACTTACTGTGCTGATCATTTTGCAATATGTACAAATATTAAATAATGTTGTATACTTGAAATTAATATAATGTTGTATGTTAATTGTACCTCAATAAAACTTAAAAAGATAAATTTAAAAAAAAAGAAAAGCTAGTTTTTCAGTGATTTGATGTTAAAAAGTCTTTTTTTAAGTCATATAGCAAATATGAAATTATGAACTTGAAGATAATAAGGCTATAAAGTGATGATATTATAAAAACATTATCTTACATTTGAATAATGCTTTAAGAAGTTTCAGGGATTTTTTTATTTTTTATTTTGTCTGTTGATAACTCTGTCAGGTAAGTAGGTCTGATATCATTATTCTCCTTTTTGTACATGAGGGAAACTGAAGCCCCAAGAGGCTGACTTGCTCAAACTCATATATCCTATCCTAGGGGGTAGAGCTGGTACGTAAATGTTGAGTTAACAACAAAAATTGTACTTAACTGGAAGAATACAGATTGTTTCCTCCCTAATCTTGGAGTATAAGATGATTTGGTCTTGCCAGCCTTTGTTTTTGATAAGGGTCACTTAAGTACCTGTGTAGTTGGATGCAGCATTATGTCTCCTGAAGGTTTGACATTATGTAGGTACTGCTTTTTTATTTGTAGGATTATATACTTCCTTACTTGATCTAAAACTTTTAAGGAAATTTAGATTTAAATACTTTCCCTTTAATGCAAACTGGTGCAGCTGCTCTGGAAAACTATGGAAGTTCCTCAAAAACTTAACAATAGAACTACCCTATGACCCAGAAATAGCACTGCTAGGAATTTACCCAAGGGATACAGGAGTGCTGATGCATAGGGCACATGTACCCCAGTGTTTATAGCGGCACTTTGAACAATAGCCAAATAATAGAAAGAGCCTAAATGTCCATCAACTGAAGAATGGATAAAGAAGATGTGGTTTATATATACAATGGAATACTACTTGGCAATGAGAAAGAATGAAATCTGGCCATTTGTAGCAAGGTGGATGGGACTGGAGGGTATTATGCTAAGTGAAATAAGTCAGTCAGAGAAAGACAGATACCATGTGTTTTCACTCATGGAGATCTTGAGAAACTTAGAAGACCACGGAGTAGAGGAAGGAAAAAAAAAGTTATAGAGAGGGAGGGAGACAACCCATAAGAGACTCATAAATACTGAGAACAAACTGAAAGTTGATGGGGAGGTAGGGGGAAGGGAAAGAGGGTGGGCATGCAGGAAGGCACTTGTTGGGATGAGCACTGGGTGTTGTATGGAAACCAGTTCGACAATAAGTTATATTTAAAAATGTAAATTAAATACTTATGTTTTTGAACGTTTGGGCTCAACAAATGAATGGATAAAGAAGATATGGATATACACACACAAATACACACACACACACACACACACACACATATACATACATACACACACAATGGAGTATTACTTGGCAATCAAAAAGAATGAAACCTTTCCATTTGCAACAACATGAATGGAACTAGAGTGTATTTAGCTAAGCAAAATTAGTCATAAAAAGACAAATATCATATGACATCACTCATATGTGGAATTTAAGGTGCAAAACAGATGAACATAAGGGAAGGGAGGCAAAAATAATATAAAAACAGGGAGGGAGACAAAACATAAGAGACTCTTAAATATAGAGAACAAACTGAGGGTTGCTGGAGGGTTGTGGGTGGGGGATGGGCTAAATGGACAAGGGGCATTAAGGAGGGATGAGCACTGGGTGTCATATGTAGGGGATGAATCACTGGATTCTACTCCTAAAATCATTCTTGTACTCACTAACTTAGATATAAATTTAAAATAATAATAAATAAATACATAAATACATGAAAACATAAATACTTTCCCTTTATGCTTTGTGATTAGACCTGACATGTAGTATATTCCCTTAAAAACCCAGACATTGGGGCACTTGAGTGGCTCAATCATTTAAGCATCTGACTGACTCTTGATCTCAGCTCAGGTCTTGAGCTTAGGGTCATGAGTTCAAGCCCTGTGTTGGGCTCTGTGCCCAGCGCTAAGCCTACTTAAAAACAACAACAAAATAACAAAACAAAAAAAAATTCCCCAAACCAAAAAACAGACATTTGTTGTACCCTTTCCAGTTAGCTTCTACATTGCTCAGCGGTGATTGTTACAGCTTGGTGGCAAATGTAAATAAGGGAGGAAGGCAGGATGGTTTCATTGGATGTCAGTTGGGAAGCTGAAGAACAGCCTTATCCTGACAGAGATAAATGAATTAAAACCAAGTCAGGCAGGTGATGCATAGATATAGGAGTCAACAAAAGCCAAAAGGGATAAAAAGAATAGACATGCTATAGGAAGTCATTCATGCTCTCTTCTCTCTTGATCTTCAAAACCTCTCAGGGAAGGGAAGTCCCCTACAATTGTCTCATTAACAAATAACTTAATTACAAGTCAGGTGAATATAGAGATAAATCAGAAAACATATGAATAGCTCCTCATATTTATTCAAGTCAGACTGAATGAAAGCTAAAAAAAGTAAAAAGAATGGTGTACAACATTTTTTCTTCCCTGTCGAGGTATTTTATATTTCATATTGAACTTTTGTCTCTAACTAAATTTAAAACACTGAGGCTTGTGAATATTATGTCTTTTGGGAAAAGCAAAATAAATGTCATCTGCTAAAAAGAGGATAGGACATAATTACAGACATTTACTGCATTGATTTAACTTAAATGGAAGTGTTATTACATAGGAGCTAACTATCTGTATTCTCTTAAATAGTCAAGATTCATTAGGTATGCCAACTTGTGATAAGGTATATGCTACAGCTTCGAATTTTTAAAATTATTGGCAGATTTTAGAATGTGAATATATTATCTATATTCTTTGAATTCCTGGGTCGCAAATCAGTGGTACATTTTAAACTTTATGACAAAGTTTGTTATTTCAGTAAAGCCAATCTAGAGTAGATAAAATTACTATTTATGTCCTGGAGGAGGAATTCACTTTACATAATTACTGCACTTGGTCAAAAATTTTAAGGATAGAATTTTATAGGTTGCTTTCTTTTCCTAGTAGAATTTGCCTAGTACAAAGGCCCTTAGGTGGAAACTGTTTGGATGGTATAAAGACACAATTGTTTAGAATGAGAACATAAACTTTCTTAAGTAGATTTTAAGAAAAATATTCCTTCTGAATAAAGAGATCAGTTGATTCAATCATTTAGATGGAGACTACAAACTAGCCACTGTGAGCTGATTGCTTTTGGCAGATAGCAGATTTATTTTGTTTAGATTAAAGATGTTTGGCCTACACTGTGTTTCCATAAAAATTGAATTGGCTTTCAACAGTTAAAAATCTAGGGTTTTAGCTAAAACTTCAGAGTTTTGTTGGCTTCTCAAAAAATGCAGGCTTTTATTTTACTTGACTGTCAAACTTTGGATGAGACACCTACTTTCTGGTTAATCATTCTCCACATGCTTTCTGTTTTCTCTGTGATCTAGAGGCTGAATATATATTGACATTTATCCCTGCATTCAGATGCTTAAGAGTAAAGTGAGATGTTTTCTTGTCCCATGTTTATATGGCTGTGCCTCTTATTAGCTGTATAAACATGGCCAAATTAAAATCCTTCTCCTTGAGTTGTCATCTTTAAAACAGGTTGTAAGAGTGTCATAGTTTTATAAGGATCAAGTGAGTTAATTTATATTAAAAACTTAGAACACTGTTGGGTGCCATATTTAAATTTTGACTGCTCTAATTTTATTATGTCTTTATCAAAGTTGGAAAAATGAGAGATAGGCTGGTGTGAAACATTACTTCAAGAATAATGAGAGAGAATGTTATTTATTTGTGGAAATAAAGCTTAATGTGCAATTATGCTTGTCTTACAAGAGTAAACACCATTATAACATAAACAACTTCATTCATTTATGTTACCTGACTAGTTGTGGTTGTTCCATCGAATTTGGTGTTCCTGTTTAGGTATCAAGTCTATTCAAAGCATATTTCAGAGGATTTTAAATCTTCAAGTAGAATGTATTTAAGGAAACTGAGGGTGTTATTCTATCTTTAACAGGTGAATTTATTTTTAAGGAAAGAATGTGTCAAATTTAGTTTTCATAAAAAGAGTTTATGAGTCTCTTCCAAAATATCTTTTAAATTTTATTTAAGAATATTTAAGTTAATAGCTCATCATGAAGTTCTTTCAGTTTGTTTGGATTTTTGAAGTTCTTTTAAAAACTTAGGATATATTTAAGTTATGTGGAAATAAATGAAAAACTGATCACCAGAAGTAAAACATAAAGTTTAGTTTTTGATTTTAAAATAAATGAATTCGACTATATAATTTCAAAAACTTATATACACAGAATATTTAGAAGGTGTGGGAAGATCAGCAGCCCTTGAAGAACATGTACAGGAAGATACAACACAAGAAATACATATTTCATCTCCTGTTGAGTCTCCTTCCCAAAAGACTAAGAGTGAGTAGCTAATCAAAAAGCCCTTGAAATAATAGTAGACATTTTATGTCCAAATTTGTTCTATATGCAAAAAGCCCAACACATGTGAAAATTTCAGGTCTTGTCAGTTATATCTTATACTTTATATTTTATCCATTTATTCAGTCAGCGTTTATTGAGCTCTTCTATTTGTCAGGCCATACTCTTGGCGTGACACAGTAGCGAGCAAAATTAGCAATCTCTGCTGTCATGATGTTTACATGGAGTAGATATTTCACACTAGATTTGTTTTCCAAAATGTATTTTTAATGCAGAATAAAAATATTGGTATCTGGATTATAACAGCTGGAGTTTTTTTTTTCCTGGGAGAAATTATAACTATAAAGTACCTTTCTGAGAATGATTAGAAAATGCATATTTGCATGCAACCTACAAAATATTCATGTTCTGACGGATGATGCATAATGTTTATCTGTTCTTTCTGTGTTTTTCCTTTATGTCACATAGCATAATTTTAGTTTATTACTTATGTAATTATTTATCTAAATACATTCTGTTTCTTTTAGTTGAACCTAGGAAGTAGGCTCCCAGCACCATTAAAAATTTATTAATGAGTTGTTGAATGAAATCTATCATATGAAAGATTATTGAGGATTAAATGATAGAGTGAATGAAACTTTAGGAATTGTAATTCCAGATGTTTTTATGTACTGTGTGTAAATGGATCATTAATATTTATTTCTACTTTGAAAAAGAATAGTAATAGGCAAAATTGGAATTTCTCCTTATCTTTTAATTTAGTCTTTTAATTTAATTCTTGCATTAATTATAGTTTAGTACCTTGTTTTCATCATAATATTTTCTGATTTACTTAATCTTGTTTGTCATGAGTTCTATCACTCTACTAGTCATATTTTTATTAGTTACTAGGAAGTTTTAGCAGTAGCCTTTCTCGAAACTTTGAATTACTGTCTTCTTATAGGTGAAACTGTGACTGGAGAATTATCAAAACTCTTGGATGAAATAAAACTCTGTCAAGAAAAGGATTATTCTTTTGAAGATTTGTGCCACACAATATCAGACCACTACTTAGATAATTTGAGCAAGATTTCAGAGGAAGAACTTGGGAAAAATGGAAGCCAGAGTGTAGTAAGTAAGGGGGGAAAGAAGACAATGTGTCTGTCTTGCCAATTCAATGTGTATCTAAGAGGCAGGGGATTTGTGCATTATCCTATCTTCTGCCAGTGTCAAATGTCAAATTCCCAATTGCTCTTTTCCTGATGTTCACTGGTGTTTTACTCTCACTGCATGTGTAGAGGAAAGAACGCTTTGATAAATCACTTATAGTTTGTGATGATCTTGCTACTGTTGACTAGCATAACACATGAAATCATAGTTTCTTTGATTATATTCTTTTAGTCTCACTGGGCATGATGACAATTGGTTTACAAAGAAAGAAAAAAAATCTTCCTTGTGTCTTTCTTCCCCATGTTCTCTATGAACTGAGTCTACCCCATCTTGAAGAAAGACAGAGCTGGCCTATATGTGTATGTTTTCCAGTCACTCTCTATGTTATGGTAGGAAAGAGACATTGTGGAAAGTTTGACCTCCATATTTTTATAATCTTATGCAAATCCCTTATGCAGCCTACAAGCTCAGAATCTAAATCATGAGTTAGAGATTCTTGATCATTTGGATTTCTATATTAACACAAAAGCAAGAAAAACTGTAGAGAATCAATCAGTTTAAAATTAAGATTTGTATACCCATTTTGTGTCATATGGAGGTAGAATTTATAGAGTGTACTGGTATTAAAGAAAATGCATTATTATAACATTAAATCTTCACTCACTTTTAGAGCTTAATTTGTTATATAAACATAATGCTTTCTTCAAAAGCTAGTAAGAGTGGATTGTGTTAAGTATGTCATATTATTTATGAAAACTAAAATTATTGCCAAGTATAGTAACTATTATGAGAACATTTACTTCATTTAACTCCTTACTGTGTGCTGACACTTGTTTCCCAGTGTAGTCTAGCTCCATGACTAATCTTACTCCCTAGGCTGTCTTTGTTTTGTTTTTTGTTTTGTGTTTGTTTTTTGCTGTACTGTCTTTTTTAAAGCATCATATTATTGGCTCCAGTAAAAGCTCCTTATGAATAATCATTATTAATTATATATATACTGAAGTAAATACATGCAAGTTTTACCAAATGAAATTTTTATATTAATGAAATATTTACTGTAGTGATTTTAATGTCAGGACAAAATTTCCTGTTTAAAAATCTAAAACTTATATATCATCTCCAAATTACAAACCAATTACATTTCAACATTTCCTTGAAGGTTGGTTACAAATTAAAACATATTTATCCTATATAAATAATACATGATGTTTAGGGTTTTAGGTTTGTCCCTAAAGTTCTCTAAACTGACTACTTCTGGTCCTCTACTTCTATACCCACAAATTTCTGAAAGCCTTAGTTGTATAAACCAGTGATTTCCAAGTTTTTTTTTTTTGTTGTACCATGGTAAACAAATTTTAAGTAAATATCCCAAATGCATGTATTCATAAATTATGTATATCTACTACTATTTGAAGAATATATGATATAAATTATGCATATACTACCAGATAATTTCAAGTAAGAAGGATACAAGTAAGTGTAAATAGAGCCTCTATTTTTTAAAATAATTTCTTAATGTTTATTTATATTTGAGAGATAGAGACAGTGTGAATGGGGTAGGGGCTGAGAAAGAGGGAGACAGAATCCAAAGCAGGTTCCAGGCTCTGAGCCGTCAGCGCTGAGCCTGATGTGGAGCTCAAAACTCACGAACTGCAAGATCAATTCAATTGAGTGAGCCACCCAGGTGCCCCAAACCTCTATTTTTGTTTTGTTTTGTTTTACTCAATGGGTATCTTGTGCACTCTCAGGTCTGTACTGCACACTTTACTTGGAGACCATGCTTATTTAAGTTTATAGATTTCGGGTAGTGATATCAGGGATTTTTAGTATTATTAGGGTAACGTAATGTAGGGGAACGTGGCCAGATACTTTTTTGTAAGTCAAAGACTGTATTGTGATAGTGACAAGAGAGAAATTAATGCTCATATATTGAACGGAATATCTTAAAATTCAAGCATCCTTTCATACAAGAAATCACCTCTTTGTTCCTGTGACAAACCTTATATTGTGTTCCTTAAAAGTATTGTCATGTTATAATAAATGTTACATGAGGCAGAAAAGCAGAGGGATCATATGCGTAAGACAAGTAGTTTGATTTATCTGAAATAATGGAGTTTATAAAGGGGGAATATGGGAGATAAAATTAGAGGGATAGATTGAGATCAGGACATGGATGATTTTGAACGTAAGGATAAGAGTTCTGTTATTTATGTTTTAGAAAGGGAGAAAAATCTAAAGGATTTGGGGCAGATAAAAGACCTCATTGGAAGTGCCCTTTCAGAAGATTAATCTAATAAAAACTTGTTATCGATATTTAAAAAGTAATCTGGTTACTTTGACCCTTTTCAACAGCCTGTGTTTCATTTGGGTTCATTTGCAGTTGTTGAATATTTCTGTTCATCAGAAATGTTTTTCAGAGTTTGTCATGAATTGTACTCTCAAATTATGCAAAAATTTAACCAAGCATTTATAGATCACCTAATATAGATGTTTGTTACCATGTTGGTTGTAAGTTATAGGATTTATTTATTATTTGTTTGTTTATTTATATATGTATTGAGAGAGTGTGTGCATGCACATACATGTGCACACTATGGGGAGGGGCAAAGTGAGAGAGAGAGAAAATCTTAAGCAGTTTCTACACCCAGCTTGGAGCACAATGTGGGACTTGATCTTCATGACTCTGAGACCATGACCTGAGCTGAAATCAAGAGTTGAATACTTAAGTTATAGGATTTATAACAGCAGTAATGAAACATGGTTCCTGACTTAAAGGAGTTCAGAATTCCTATTCTAAGAAGGCTTTAGTCACAGGGTACAGATATAAGACTAACATATAAAACAACAGATATATGAGTGCTAACATTTATTAGGTGCTTGCTATTCTAATACTTTATATGATTTAAGCCACTTAATCCTCACAGTAAAGCTAACAATGGATTTATAGACTTGGGAAATGATTCAGCTGGCAAGTGGCAGATCTAGGATTCAAACTCAGAGCCAATATCTTTAATTTCCAGTTACATTTCTTATAATAAATTACCCTGTGGCCAAAAGAATTTTTTTTAAAGGGAGAGATTACTGAAAACTTACTTGTATTCACTGAAGGTGTAATGGAGGTAGGGAGAGACTAAACTGGGGTTCCAGTAGAAGAGGAGATATGCCTTGTACTTATTTTGGAATGAATGAGTGAGTCAAAGAGAAGATTCCAGCTTGCAGAAACAGTATGTACAAAAGCACAGAGGTGAGACATAGCATATAATTTGAGAAGAATGGTTTATCGTGAGAGTTGATTTTGGAAAGTAGTGGGAAACAAATTTGAGTAAGTAATAATTCTTAACACTTATGGAGCACTTTTTGGTATTAACTGGCCTAATCTTAACAATAACCCTATCAGATAGGTAGGATTATTCCTCTCATTTTATAGATGAGAAAATGGGGACATAGAGAACCTTTATGATTTTCCCACATTGACACAGTAATTACTAGAGCCAAGATCTGAAAACAGGCAGTTTGAGGTTGGTACCTTAGCTGTTACTGCTCAACTATTTTGTTTGGGGAAGATAATTAATTTGGGAACCTAGTCGGAGGTTTAATATTGTTGCTGAGGAGAATAATACTCTTTAATAGGGAGTTCTGTCTTGAAAGTGACATTTTGGTAATATAAAAATGGTAACTATAATCAGATGTTCTGAAAAGAGACTTCGAGATTCTCAGCAATGGATATATGTTAGACTTATCTGGAGAGGCTTCAAAATATACTGATACCATTAGGTACCATGTCACCAAGTAGACCAACTAAATCAGAGTTGTTTGAGGTGGTTCTGAGCCTTTACCTTTTAAAAAGCTAATATCCAGACTACTGATCTACAGGAGTAAAATTCTTCCAGGGTGTTACTGAGGTAATTGAGACCTGAGATGCTGAGTCAGAACTGAGGTCTTGATAATACTACAAAATTATAGAACTTTAAGCTAGAACAAGTCACATCATAGGTATTCAGCCCGATTCTCCCACTCCCCAATGTAAGAGCTTCTAAAAAAATCTCTTTAATTTGAAGTATTTTCAGTTTATCATCAGGGAAAATTTCCACTGTAGTCCAGCCATAGTCCTAAATTAAAATTATTTCTGTGTTATATTGGAATGTTAAAGGTGAATAAGATTTTTGCTTATCATTCACATTATTGGCTAAAAGATGGGCATTTGGGTCCAGTTAAAATTTAATTTTAGGTAATAAGAAATACCCAACTTGTTAATTGTATTATGACAATTCCAAAAGTAGTTTAGAACAAATAAAAATGTAAGGAAAATATGTTTTGTAGCATTTATATTATTAATAAATGAATTTTACATATTATTGATATATCTGAATTTTGAGGATATTTTAGCTGTTAGTTCAGTTTAGCTTTCATTGCCTATTTTTCTTCCAATAGAGGGCAGTCTAATTCAGTAATTTAAAATACAAAATCAGCTATCTTACGTAAGAACTTTTACTTTTGAATTAGAGGTTTCTGATTTTATTAAAATATTAGCCTTAGGTAGTAGCTTGAAGAATTTTACTAATATAAGTCAATTAAAAGTTAAATTCTTATTATGATTGAATGTATTTGATTGAACATTTAATGTGAAGGCCGGCTCCAGTTAAAATTACATTTTCTCTTGCATAAATTTTAATTCAAAAGCCAGTCTGTTTTAAATGCTTTTATAATATGCATATGGAGCCATTTTCTAAGTTGAATTAGGACATTATATAATCTAGAATGTAAATTTTGAAGAAATATAAATATCTTCACATTCTTTAGCAACCCATGAAATTTAGAATTTTAAAAGAATATGAAATAATCTGAAAAAATGTTCTATTCTCTTCATTTATTTTTCCAAGTCATGTATTCATTGCCTTCCTCCATGTGTGTAAACAATGTGCACAACTATTAAGTGTGAATACACTATGCCATTGCAAAAT